GGTGGACCACCAGGAATGCCACCAAGAGGACCACCACCTGGCGGCCCGCCAGGAGGACCACCAAGAGGACCCCCACCGGCGGCCCGACCAGGGTGGTCCACCTAGAGGTCCTCCACCAGGAGGTCCACCAGGAGGACCACCGCGAGGCCCTCCTCCAGGCGGTCCACCAGGAGGACCACCTCGAGGCCCTCCGCCAGGCGCCATGCCCGGTGGACCACCACGGGGCCCACCGCCAGGAGGTCCGCCACCAGGAGGCCCACCTGGAATTCCGCAACAAGGAGGACCACCTGGGGGCCCTCCGCCAGGTAGTGATTCAGCAACATTGCATACCACTTGCTGTTGGAATCCACGACACGCTGTAGGCATGCCCATGATGGGTCGACCGCCACCACCTGGTACATGCTTTGTACAAGTACTAAGTCATTAACAGTGTCCTGACGTAGGAGCACCTCCAGGAGGTATACCACGAGGTGCATAATCCCGTTGGATGTCGTGAAAAACGTCTCGAACTTCCATACGTAGGGCCTCCGCCTGGAGGACCACCAGGAATGCCGCCCCGAGGTCCACCAGGCATGCCACCGCGAGGTCCACCAGGCATGCCACCGCGAGGTCCACCAGGCATGCCACCAGGCATGCCACCAGGCATGCCACCCCGAGGTCCCCCCGGCATGCCGCCACGAGGTCCCCCCGGTGTGTTGCAATATCTTTACAGTGGGGATGCATGGTTTTGTCAAACATAGGGGCACCGCCGGGTATGATGCCTCGAGGCCCACCAGGTAGCGTACGATCCAGGCAAGAACGCGTTTTGGATCGACTGATGTAGGAATGCCACCGGGCATGATGCCGCGCGGTCCACCAGGTAGGCACTAGAGCCCACTTTCCCTGCACTCTCTTACCTCAACATGCATTAGGAGGTCCACCAGGTTCGATGCATGAGTAGTTTATCGTGACTTACTCTTTTCGATACAAGGCATGCCAGGCCGTGGTCCGCCTCGCGGTCCACCAGGTTGCCACGTCATCTTGTCGTCGCTTCAGCGCTCACGACCATGTTTCTCTAGGTCCTCCCGGCATGCGACCCCCAGGCATGCCAGGAATGCCACCGGGGCCTGGTATTTCGTCTTTCGAAAGGCGAACGCGGTGTATGAAAGCATCGTAGGAGGTCCACCTGGTGCCGTGCCTCGCTTTGGGAAGCTCTCGGTGAAGCTGTTAAAGGGCCTCGAGCTCATGAGCCTTGGGGCGCTTCAAACTGCGGACCCGTACGCCAAACTCACGATCGGAACCCAGAGCTTCCAGACCAAGGCATTTATATTGTATTTCAAGTCACGCTGCTAACGTGCGTCTGCCTGTAGGTCCACGAGAAGGGAGGAAAGAACCCGACGTGGAACGAGTCGTTCGAGTTTAGCATCTCGACCGAGAAGGAGCTCATCATCGAGCTCTTCGATAAAGAGCAGAACGGCAACGACCGCTTCATGGGCAAAACTACAGTCCGCAACGGCATCGCTGAACCCAAGTACTCAACCGACATGTTTAGGTGGACTTGATTCCGTGGATTGCCAAAGGCAGCTTCGAAGGCGACATTGACGTCAAGGACAACGACCAAGATGCGGGCAAGGTGTCTCTCGTCGTACAATTCACAAAACCGGTGGTCGGTCCGCCCGGTACGAGGCATAGACATCGGCCTTGCATACGCTTACGCTATGAACCACGCAGGCGCGATGCGCACGCCACCGCAGATGGGTGTCATGACGCCCCCGGTAGCTGGCGCGCCCCCAGCCGCCCCCGCTGAGCCCCCGCGTGATCCCAACGGCAAATTTAGCGACAGCGAGATCCTCGAGGTACCGGACAGTTCTTTGCGTCAATGTATCAAGTCTACGTAGGCCTTTCGCGCGTTCGATTTGGACCACAACAACTATGTGGGTGCTGCCGAGATCCGACACGTGCTCATCAACATTGGCGAGTCGCCCACGGACGAAGAGGTCGATGAAATGATTCGCATGGTCGACCTCGACGGGGATGGCCAAGTGTCGTTTGACGAATTTTACAAGATGGTGACGGGCGGGAAAGAGCCGCCATCGGGTCTCTTTGTGGCAGCCGGCGACGGGGAAGTCGCTGCGATCGGTATCGCACATGACGACGACGTGCTGCTGGCTTACTTGAATGTTTAGCAACGGGTGCGGGCGCAGCGTCTTCGATCCAGTTGCGCAACGAGCGCAAGAACATTCTCGAAGAGTTCGCGCAGGACAACAATATCAAGCCCGAGTCGGTCAAGAAGGCCTACAAGCGGTTCCAAGCCACCGACAAGGACGGGTCGGGGCAGATTGACTACACAGAGTTCTGCGAAATCATGCTTGTGGACCCGTCGCCGCAGTGCGAGAAGCTCTTCCAGCTCTTTGACAACGACAAGGTTGGCCGCATCGACGTGCGCGAGGTACACATGCAGTGGTTCGAAACGGTGTGGACGGATTGTCTTGTAGTTTATGATCAGTCTCTCCAACTTCACGGGCGCCGAGAAGGAGGAGAAGCTCAAATTTGCCTTTATGATCTTTGACGAAGATGGCAACGGCGTCTTGACCAAGCACGAGCTCATGCGCATCTTGAAGGCGAATCACATGGCTTCCAACGAGTCCGAGGTACACACAATCGTGCAATCGGATGTGACATCGTCGGGGTAGGTCGCACGAAAAGCAGACACAATCATGTCCCAAGGCGATAAGGACGGCGACGGCGTTATTTCATTCGACGAATTCGCCCTCGTGAGCAAGAAGTTTCCCAACATTCTCTTCCCCGCCTACACCCTCACGCAGCAAGCTGTATAAAACTCTCGCGCCAACACAACTACTTCTAACTAGCCACGTCCTCGTAAGCAACGAAATGAACAATCCCGTCATTTATGGTTCCCAAATTTGCCCACGACTCACTTGAATCATGCTTGAGGCATGCCCCATCCCATGTACAGTATGTTGACCGCAATCGTGCACGTCATTGGCTCTATTTGTTGTGAATTTCAACCAATCCTGTGCGAGCTCGATTGCATCGCCTTGGGCGAGGCTGAGAGATCGACCAAATTGCGTTTCAAAATGGAACCGCTCAAACTTGGCACATCGATAAAGGGCACTTTGGATAGCACAAAATGCTATGCCACGTCGAAGTGCGAGCTGTACCGCAAGCATTAAGGGCCAAAGCATTAATAGTGGCACATGCCACATTTAGATTCGCCACGTGTTTATTTCAGGTATATCCGGCAATACGTGGCGTTTGCCACTAGTAAGATTATGGCCCATACCGCTTGCTGTAAAGCTCGCGCGTCAACGTGGCATAGCATTTCGTGCTCTCCAAAGAGTCCTTTATCGATGTGCCAAGTTTGAGCGATTCCATTTTGAAACGCAATTTGGTCGATTTCTCGGCCTCGCATGAGCCTCGCACAAGGCGATGAAATGGTGCTCGCACAGGATTGGTTGAAATTCACAAAAAAAAGAAGCCAACAAAACGTCTTGATCCCGAATGTCCGGTTACCGCATTTCACTATCCGTAGCAGGCGCGAGATGATTGTTGGTTTGGACGCGCGGGATGTTGCTCCTACGAAGATACGCCGGCCGCGCCGCGCCGCGCTGGCCGACGTCTGTGCTTGGCGCGATGCCGCTTCCGAGCGCCTTGAGCTTTCGGTCGTTTAGCGCCTCGGGCGATGACAGCGAACTTGTGCGCCTCAGCAAGCTCATGTCGATGAAAGGTGCAAACTTGCTATTCTCACAAACGGCCCATCCCATGCCTTTAACGCTAGGCATTTGCTCACGCCGCGAAGCCGACAACTACATTCAGAGCGGCAACGTTCGCGTCAATGGCGAGATTGTGCGTCGTGGTCTGTATCCTATCGAGACTAATCCGGGTGTAGATTTCGGAACTCGGCTCTAAAGTCCACCCGACGAGCCAAATTGAACTCAGCCGCGACGCCAACACGCACCGAAAGAGCAAGGTCACTGTGATCCTCAACAAACCACTCAACCTCGTATCGTCGCAACCCGAAAACGGCCACGCGCCGGCGATCAAGCTTTTGTCCCCCGAGAACGAGTTCAAGGAGCTCAGCGTCCAGCAGCCCTTCCTTCTCGATGGTCCGATGAAGATGAACGTCGAGCGTTTTGGGCCCTTGGCGCTCCCCAAGATGGCAGTGTGTGGCCGCCTCGATGTCAACTCGACCGGTCTCCTCATCTTCACGCAAGACGGCACGCTCGCCAAGTCGATTCTGGACCCGGAGGGCGGCGTCGAGAAGGAGTACCTCGTCCGCGTCAACCTGAATTTGGACGAGACGGACCGCGCGACGCAAGTCAAGGTGCAGAAGTTGCGCGACGGCATCTACATTGAAGGCGTCCTCTTCAGCGCCAAGAAGGTCGAGATCATCAACGAAAACCAGCTGCGCGTGATTCTCACCGAAGGCAAGCACCGCCAAATTCGACGCATGTGCGAGCAGGTTGGCCTCAAGGTCGTCGCGCTCAAGCGCGTGCGCATCGGCAACATCAAGCTGCGGACGCTCCCGGTCGGCAAGTGGCGGTACCTCCAGTCCTTTGACAAGCTGTAATCGAACTGTGTGCTGTATTTGGGCTCGCTGCTTACGCATCGTCAAAGTACGCATCTTGCGCGTCCCGCGTCAGCGCCGTAAAGTCGTCGTACGCGATGCTGCCATCAACCTCGTCGTACTTGGTGAAGCCCACGTCGAGACCTTGGAGGAACCGCTGGCACATGACGTCGATCAGCTGCTGCCGGCGATCCGCAACACTGAGCATCTCGTCCATCTCGTCGTTGTCGTCGCCGTGTGGATCTGCCTCCGCGCCGTCCATTGACTCGTCTTGCGCTTCATCGTCACTGTCCGAGTCAAACTCTTCTTCAAAAGTTGGATGCTTGTCCATCGTCGGCTCTTTGGCGGGCGCCGGGCGATGCTGCCGCATGACCCTACGCACCACCATGGTAAGGCGACCTGTTTAAATCCATGTTGTGTACCCCCACGTGCTTTCTTCCTCTTCCTTCCTTGCCTCGAGCGCTTGCTTGTCCATTGACGCCATCAAGAACGTCGAGAGCGACTAGCCTCGCATGAGCACCTTTGTTTCGTCGATGGCAGCTGCGTACCGCTGGCTCGGCCCGCGCCGAAGTGTTGGGCGGGATGTACCGACCGAGGTGGAAGTGAAACAAGCTCGGGCTGCGCCGCTCCATGTTCTCGTCCGAAAAGTAGTCGGACGTCCGCAGCAGCTCTTGGAGCTTGCAGTACCGGCGGTTCTTTATCCTAGCGTCAAGGCCGCCGGGCGCAAGCCGTCGCTGGAAGTCGCGCGCGGTCGTCGCCGGCTCGCGGATCGTTGGAGCGGCCTCCAGCGTTCGCATGTAGGCGTCCAGCGGGTCTTCTTCGTTGTCGTCCTCCATGCCCATCGAGGTGAGGCCGTCCATGAGCAGATCGGCCATTTGCTCGGACGATGCGAAAATGCAGCCTTGGTGTCCGGATAAAATACATGTATCCGGATGATGCATTCCGATAACCGCGACCAAGTGCAATTTTGGAGGGAACGTGACATGATGCTGCATGCGACCGTCGCCCGCGCGCTCGACGCCTTCGCCACGCAGATGCGGTGCCCGATCTGCCTCGAGGCGCTCGAACGGCCTTTCTCACTCCCATGCAACCACTGCTTCTGCGAGGCCTGCATCAACACGGCGCTAAGCTTTGCGACCACGTGCCCTGTCTGCAAGGCAGCCGTGCGGAAGCGGACGCTGCGTCACGATGGCTCGGTGCAGCGGATCCAAGACGCGCTGCAGAAGCTCATGGCCATGCGCCCAGTGGTCGAGGCGCCGCCGCCGGCGGCGACCATGCCCACGAGTATCTGCATCGATCTCTGCAGCGAAGAGTCGGACGAGCAGTCCAACTCGATCACGCAGGCGACGCAAATCGACGCACCACCCATTGTACCTGTCGCCGCGCCCGAGGCGGAGATGCACGAGATCCTGCCGCCTGCGACGCCCCCGCGAACACAAGTCTTTGCCGGCGGCCAGGTCGTCGAGGTCAGCGCGCGCACGTGGCCGGGCATCAACAAGCTCGGTGGCACGGCGTGGATCGTCCGCCGCAACGACGGTACCCCTCGATTCCACCAACGCAGCTATCGGTTTCATGATACGTGTAGATGGTACGTACAACGTCAAGTACGTTTTGGGGGGCCGCGAAGGGCGTGTGGATCCGGCCTACATTCGAAGTGCCGGCACGAGCAACGACAACAACAACAACAGCGATGACGCAAATCCCTCCCCCGCCACGTCGTCGGCACGAGCGACATTATCTCGGAAGCGCCTGTCGCCAGCGATCGAGAGCCCTCCACCGGTGCCACTGAAAAAGAAAAAGGCCGCCCAGAGTACTATCCGCGAAGCGCTCGTGTTTCTCTGTTCAGGCCTCAACCACGATGAGAAGACGCTTGTCGAGTCGTGTGCGCAGCTTTTGGGCGCGACGACCGTGCACGAGTGGACCGAGTCGGTCACGCACGTCATAGTCAAGTGCCAGCACGCGGCGCCGATGCGCCAGAAGCTCCAGCTCTCCGATAAAGTCAAGCGTTGGGTCAAGATCCGGTCCATCAAGTACCTCAAAGCCGTCGTGTCGGGTCGCTGGATCGTCAGCGATGCATGGATTCTAGGTGCCACTGCGTTTTCGTCTGCGTCTCGGCTCACGCTCTACGGTAGCGTGCGTCAAAGCTAAAGCACTCGTGAGCGAAGAGTCGTACGAAGTGCAGGGGCTGCTCAAGGTGCAGCACGTGCCCGAGATTGCCAAGAAGGCGCGCCTCCTCCGCCAAGCCAACCTAGCGACGGTACTTTATCGCTCAAGTGGCATCGCAGAGGTAATTGAGAGTGTGATAGGCAACCTGCTTGCCGAGTGCCGTCGGTACGCGCCTCTTTGCCTCCCTCGTTTGCGTCGTGTACGGCAATTTTGCCTCGCCGCTGCCCCCGAAGCATGAGATTGGGTCCCTCGTTCGACTCGGCGACGGTACTGTCGTTGCCAGCCTCGACGAGCTCGTGCGCACAGCGGCGCAGACCTCGAGCCGGACGTGCGTCGTGATAGTGGAGGCCATGGACGTCGTGCTGCCGCTCCCGACGACGGCGGCGGGCCTCACCATTTACGCGGTCGGGTACGAGTGGGTCCTCGACTCGGTCAGCGAGTGCGCGCTCAAGCCCCTTGCCCACTTGCTCCAAACCTAGTGTCTTGTATAAATTGTATCAACTTGATACAGTGTCGAAAGGATTCCGTTTTGAACCATTGCCGAGATATGTGGAGTTACACGTACAACGGACGCTGCAGCGCGTTCGGTGACGCCCAGCGCGTCCTCTTCTCGGCGGCGAGCAACGACAGTGGCAAGCGCACACTCGCAATAGCGCTCGAGAGAGGCACACGGGGTATCTATATCGGTGACCCCGACGACGCTCCCCAGCTCGCCAAAGGTTCTCACGCTTAATCGGTACGAGCTTACGAAGAAGGTTCTAGTCAAAAAAGCCATTCAAGACGCGGTCGCAAAGACGATATTGCGACGAGACCAACTTCGCATTGTGTGCGAGTGCAGCTACTTGTGGAGCCCGACAGCACTTCGGACCAAGGTGGTCGACCTCGTCGCCAAGCTTGACGTCGCGTACGTGGATGGTCTCTTGCTGCCAGCGAGCTTGCTGCCGCCGTTCGAGACGGTACTGAGCATTCATACTATGCATGCGAGAGAGGGAGTGAGCGGCGTGTAGCAACTCTGCGTCGATGAACTCGTGCACGCATGGCGCCAACTGGTCGAGATGCGCAACGAAGGGCTTGTGAAGCGCATTGGCGTCACCGACTTTCCCGTCGTTTTCCTCGAAGTGCTTTTCGAGCGCTTCCCGAACGACCGCGCCGAGATACTCTGCTTGAGCGTGCACCCGCTGCAGCCGCAGCGCCACGCCATTCGATTCGCCCACGCAAAACAAATGGACGTGCTGGCTCGATGCCCCATTGCGCTGCCCGACACGGTGCCGTTTGCGGATCGCGAGCGCTGGCTGCAGCTCGCGGCATCCATCGCGGTGGCCCACCATACACTTCATTTCAAGTACACGCTGCCGTCCGAGACGGTGCAAGCCGACACGGCGGTGGCCGTCTTGCCGCCCCCCGTCGACGCCAGCGTGGCGATGCTACCCCTCAAGGTATGTGATTTTCAAACGACGGTTCAGAGAGGAGGATGCAATAGACGCCGACCCAAGTGGCTATCAAGTGGCTTCTTCAGCGAGGCCTCGTGATCGCGCCAATCGTCGACGGCGACGAGCCGTACTCGGACGAAAACGTCGCCGATGTCTTCTGCCTCACGCACCCGTTCGTGCACGATGTGGCCAGCGCCGCCCCGTCCAAGCCGTTCCAGTTCATTCTCTCGAAAGCTGAGATGCTCGCCATCGGTGCGCTTGGCGCCTATCACTAAGCGGCTCTGACCCACCACTCAAGCTGGTACTAGTAGCTTGAACACCTCAATTGACATGTTGACATCTCTGCGATGATGACGACCACGACGGGTTCGTTCGGCCATTTGTGGATGCCGCCGCACCCTCGCCCTAAACTTCCATATGACCGCAGCCATGGCACGATGCCACCGAAATGACCATGAGGAGGGACCACCGAGCATGGTTGATGGTCGGGGTGCATGCATTAGTTATGGCATCTCATTCGACGCATCTTGGCTTTGCAGGTCATGTGATCTCACGCGAATAAATGATAGTTCTATGCTCCATATCCTCGTTGGTGGCGCCATCATCCGTTTCGCTGATCCCGAAATACCCGCACAGTAGACAGAGCAGCATGCCCGAGACACCCGTGACGGTGCGCATGCGGAAGAGCATCAACGAAGCGTACCCTGCGCCGTCGCCGCGCACGCGGCCCCACAGCCGCAACTCGTGCTCGCAGGTGACAATTCCCGAGATCGAAACGGACGCGACCGGCGACATGCTGACCGAAGACCTCGCGCGGCTCTACTCGCTCGAGAGGAACGAGCTGCGCTTTGGCGACACGATCGAGCTCCACGCCATGTCGGCCTTTGAGTCTGCAACCAAAGACGCGCCGATCGGCTTTATGCGCTGGTCGCCGTCCTCGGACGCCAAGCACATGCAGAATGTCCTCGTCGTGCCACCGATCGACCCAGCGCTCTTCTCTGTCGCTCGCTTCGTCATGTACAACCACAATTCAGATATGGGATGGTCGTTGATGGCGTGCTAGAATGCCGACGCGCGACGACGTCAAGAGCAAGCTCCACAAGACCACGCTGCGCTACGACGCTGAATTTGTACTCGAACTTTCGCCGCAAACCGCCGCCGAGTGCACCAACACCCGGCCCCCGAAAGCCAAGTACTCGCTCAGCAACAAGACTCCGTCGACAAACGACTACATTTCGGCGCAGCCGCGCCAGGTCAAGGTTGCGGACGAGACGCACATTGGCAGCAAAGGCGAGTTGCACGTGGTCTTGCGCAAAGCGAGTGGCATGGCCGACATGGTACGATATGCAGTACTATTCTAGTGACGGTAGACCAACAGACTATTCGATTAGCCCGTCCAAGACGGGGACATGCAAGTGACATTGCACGTGACCAACTCGAACCGCAATCGGACGAGTCTCAACAACAACGTGGTGCAATTTGCCCTCGACACAGGAACGTCCGGCGCGTACTTGTGCTGCGACCGCAAGAAAAGCGTCTTTGGCTTTGCAAATTCCCGGCCCAGTACCAAACCAATTCTCTTTCGACTCGCCAAGGTCAAGACATTTTCCTAACTTTTTACTGCTTTTTACCAATACTTGTATATTTTTTCGATTTTTACGCGTTAAGTTGGACCTTGCACTTTGCGAAATGAAAGATTTCTCGGCCGTCCTGGACCGCTTCAAGACGGGCGGCGGTAGCTCGCCGCCTAAACTGCCGGCGCCGCTGCGCAGCGCGCACGAAACACCTTCGTTCTTTGGCCTCTTGACACCTGTTGTCTCGCCACCCAAGCAAGCGGCGCCGTCGTCGTCGCCATCGGCCTTTGATGCCGAGTACGTGGGCTTCCACCGGGAGCGCTGGCTGCAGCAGTCGGGCGCCGCCGCCAAGGCCGCGTCGTTCCCGTCGTCGCACTATGCCAACTTGCACCACCACTCGTATGCGTCCAAGACCAAGGACGTCAACGTGCAGCAAATCGACCGCGACATTGAGCGGACGATGCTGTACGACACGGCGTCGGTAGAGCAGCGGCGCCTCGGGCTCGCGACCGCGTCGTGCCGGCCAGCCAACGTGCCGATGCTCCGGCGTGTGCTCGTCGCTGCGTCGTGGCACTTGACGACAGTGGGCTACTGCCAGAGTATGGACATTCTCTGCGCGTTCCTCCTCCAATACCTCGACGAAGAAGACGCGTTCTGGATGCTCGTGACGCTCGTCGACGACATCCTGCCAGGGTACTATACGCCGACGCTCGATGGCATTCAAGTCGACCAGCGCGTCTTCCAGGAGCTCGTGCATGAGTACCTCCCCGAGCTGAGCGCGGTACGACCCCGTGCCTTGCTCGTGTCCATGGTGATACTATGACCATGTGTAGCACTTGGAGTCGCAGCATGCAGGCGTCTCGCTGCTCTGCTTCCATTGGTTTCTCTGCTTGTACGTCAACGTGCTTCCAACGCACGTGACGGAGCTCGTCTGGAGCTGCCTCTTTGAGTGGGGCCCTCGCGCGCTCTTTGAGATGGGCTTGCGCATCCTGACGATTGGTGATACCTTTACAACAACATGAAATGCTGCAACTTGAATGGTGGTCGTAGCCGAGGCCGACCTGCTCGCCTGCGACAACTCGGTCGAGCTCCTCGAAACGCTACAGGACGTGGCGGTGCAGATCAACAGCAGTATCGTGCTGCCCGTCTACGAAGGCGTCCTTCTCAAGCGCGACGGCAAAGAGGGTCTCTCCATGTCGCCGATACCGTCGCCGTCGCCGCTCGCGCGGCTGCAAAAGCACGCCACATGGACTGTCCGGAAGGCGTTTGAGTTTCATATTTCGGCGCCGTTTGTGGCGGCGCTGCGGTCGCACTACGCAATGGCGCATCGTCATCGTGACGAGGTCGTGCCGCCCGAGCCATCGAGCTTCGCGGGCCTTCCGCTGGCCCCCGAGACACCGCAGTGGCCAACGCCAGCGTCAGCCAAGTTTCAAGCGGTGCGTGCGAGCGTCGCATCGTTTACGCGTGTTGCCGCCGACGTCGCGCCGTCACCGTCCGTTCTTTGCAGCCCGCGCCATCAAGTTGTCAAGCCGACACGGAGCCAGTACGAGCTGAGCTTGCCGCGCGCGCTGCGGTCGACGTCGCCACCGAATCATCACCGGCTCGGATCTCGCGCGCACTCGCTGCCTGAGCGACACCCTGTGCGCAACGAAGCTGGCTTTGGGCTTAACGACCTCAAGGCGCTCCATGGTAGCATTCTGGACCGTCTTCTCGACGATCAAAAGAACCGGTAGGGCTTTCTTCGTGGACGTAGATGGGAAAGGCGGTGCATAGGTGGCGCTGGGAGCGGCAGAATGCCAAGAACGAGTGGGTCGGGTACTCGGCGCTCAGCGGCGCGATCCTCGAGGGCTCCCAGAAGGGAAATGTGTCGCACGTGACCTTGTGCGAAGACCGCATCGATACGTACGGTAGCTTTTCGCTGCCCGAAGCCACCCAAGTGCTTGTCGACCTCCACCAAATGGTCGAGCAGTGCGAAGTGTCGGGAAGGGTCTCCAAAGTGCGGCGCGTGCGCGGACTCGAAGACACGAGTGTCTACGACGTGCCGCTGGACGTGCAAACGATCCAGCGGGTGTGGGGCCACTGCGCGAGCCACGTGCAGCAGGTTCGTCGCCCGTGTGATGCGCTGTGAGGATGCCATGGGACCTTGGTAGGCGTGGGAACCGACGGCCGTGCGCGATATGCTAATGGCCCTCATGCAGCCCAACGACACGATCCTGCTCCGCGACATTGGTATTGGACTCGCGATTGCGTGCACGGGGCCACCCAAAGACCGCCTCGAGTTTGTCTTGGGGCTCTTTGACTGCTTTCCAACGCATGACGAGTCGGCCGTCATCGAGGTCGTCGGCGCGTTGTATCAATGTTTCAATGTTTCACCGATGGAGTAGAACGACGTGCTGCATGCGGTTTTGCGTACGATCTATGGCTTTTGCTACGACGCCAACGTCCACGAGAGGTCGTTCCGATTCTTTTGCTTTGTACTGACGTTTGTGACGCGCACGTCAGTACGTCCATCGCTTGTAGCATCTCAGTGTACGATGCCTGCCTCGCATAGCTCACCTATCGCAGCGTCGTCGAGCTCGTCCTGCTGCACTTTCAACACGTCTTTACGCAGCACTAGCCACTACACTCCGCCCTTTTCAGTCTATGATGTTCTCTTTGCATGTCTTTTACGAGGCCAATCGAGTACTGCGTAAGAGAGCACCCACGGCGGACGACGTTCCGAGCCCTTACGTCTCGACTTGCAAATCAAAAAAAGTTGATATCGGGGCAGGAACGTACGACTGCCCTTATGTTAGCTGCTAGCTAGACGTCTGTGGGCACCTGGCACACAAGGGCGCTGTCCCATAGGGTGCCAATCGGCTCCAAGGTCTCGTTTGACGCCTTGAGCGTCACGCGACGAAGCGACCGCCGGACGCACGCCAGCACATTGTTGGTGTGGAGCTCGACGATCCAGACGCGGCGATGGCGCACATTTTGCAGCGTGGCGTCGACACTGTGCAGGGACAGATGGGCCTTGTCAATGACAATAACGTCCATCTTGTCTTCCAGGGCACGAACGAGCGTCTTGGTACAAAAGGCGTCGGGGTCGTCGCCTTGGACCTCGTCAAACACGAGGCTGTTGCGCTCGGCGTAGTAGCCTTCGCTCGTGCACACGACGCTCGAGAGTCCTCGGCGGTCGCAGTCGCTTTGCAGGTGACGCGCCAGCGTCGACTTGCCAGCGCCCGGGACTCCGCGGAGCAGGACGGCGTCACCCGGTTGCAGCACCACATGGAGCGTCGTGGGAATGTCGGGGTTTAAAATCGAATACAGGCTCGGGTGGGACCCGTCGATCGCGCGCGCCGAGCCACGAATGGTGCAGAGTTCGAGGCGACTGACCGGCTGCACTCCGATCGGCGAATGCGTGTACGCTCCGTAGAGCGCGGGGTCGATGGAAGCGTGCGATGGGACCTTGCACAGCGTGACATGCGGGATGTACGGCGCGTGGTTCCCAGCAAGATCGAGGCCGGCCGCGCGCAGCTCGCTCTGTAAATTCTCGACGAGGAACTCGAGGGCGTGGCATCGCGTTAGCGTCGCGATCAAAACGCGGTGGTCAAAGTGCGAGACGCCGTTCAGCGAGACAGTTTTACTCGGCGGAAAGAGTGCGGAAAGAAGATGCTGGGCCCGCCGCAAGACCGCTTGGGCGCGCCAGAGGTCGTGCAGCGTATGCAGTCGCAGCACGAGCAGCGTACAGTGCAGCTTGGGCGGCGAAATCATGCCATGCGCGAGCCGGGCATCCTTGCGCTGGATTGCATCCTGAATCGACTCGCAGCGCGCAATTGTTGACGGCTCGGTGATGCGGAAGCACAGAAAGGCGTTGGGGCCGGTCGTCGGCCGTGCTCGCGCGCTACGCTTGCCGCCGCGTCCGCTCGCATAGGTACTCGTTGGGCCAGCGTCAGCACCATTCCGGTCTTGGCCTCCGTAGAGAAGCGCAGCGCGCGGGTTCATGCCCAGCGGTGGACCACGAGGAGGAGGCTGGTTCGGCCACATTGCGCGAGTCCACCACGAGAGCCTAACTCGAGAGTGATGGTCTCCTTTTCACGGCTACCTACACTGGCTTTCATAGACGACAATGAGGCCGTATAGCCGACACTGGTATTTATAACCGACTTGGGCATTTGTAACCGACAATGTGTAACTGGTAGTGACACGAATATGCTGCGGAAGTACGCGATCTTTGAGGCCATTCGGTCCGGCGACCTGCGCCTCGTCCGCGCCGAGCTCGCGGCGACGCCGGCTTGCGTATATGAAAACTCAATTACGGTACTAGCCGCTACCGCGGATGCGATGCACGCGACGCTGTAGGGGGCGCTGCCGTACGAGGTGGCGGTGGACTGTCATCGCTGGGACATGGTTGTGGCGCTACTGCAGCACGACCCAGGCCAGCTCGCAAGTACCAAGGTACCGCGTGACGTATGACAGAGAAAAGAGTGCACTTTTACGCAGAGCCCATGCCTCCTCGTCGCCGCCATCACGCAGAACGTACCCGAGTCGCTGATGATTGAAGTCATTCTCGCCGCGCCAGAGCGCATTTGCCAGCCGATTGTATCGTCGTTCCTCGTACGCACCTCGTATGGTATTGCGGCGGCTAAGACGTGATTGGTGCAGAAGCAAACCGAGTACCCGATCCATGCGGTCATTGCCGCCGGCCTCTCGGACGCAATCAACGTCATCTTACGCCACTGCCCGCACCAGCTCTCCATCTGCGACGATGACGGCAACTCGCTCGCGCATTTGATATGTCAATCGACATCCTTGTCACCGTCCGTGTTGGCCACGCTCGCTGAGCTCCAGCCACGGTTGCTGCAGGCACTGACGACCAATGACGACGAGCAGACGCCGCTGCACTGCGCGATTGAGAGCCGATGCGCGACACCGACCATGCTGGCTTCGTTTCAAGCTGCAGACACTGGTGCAAAGCACGCGTCGATCTGCTTGGTGCGGGACCGGCAAGGCTATCTTCCATTGCACGTTGCAATGGCCGAGCGCCAATGGACCATGATGGCGGCACTCGCGACCTGGTGCCCCGAGACGGTGTCCGAGCCCGACCCGGTCGGAGACTTACCTATCCACGTTGCCGCCGCGTACCGCCAATGGGACCTCGTCGAGATGCTCGTGCAATTGGCGCCGGCCACGGTACAATCGACTGTCGATTTATTCTCGTGTGTGTGAGAAGTGCTGCCTAGGCGTCGCGACGGGACCGCCTCGGTCGGTCACTTCTCGCCGTCGCCCTTGGGGGGCAAGCGTGGCACTGCGCCAAGATTCTCGTCGGGCTCGAGTTAAACCCGCTCCCGACCTACGACGTCGATGTCGTCCTCCAGTTTCAGCAGTGGGATTTGGCAGCGATGCTCTTGTACGCGATGCAAGATCCTTTGGCGGATCCGCAGCACACACTGTACCTCTGCTGCAAGTACGGCGCGCCGTCGTACATTCTGGGGGCCGTAGCACCGACCATCGCAATGATCGAAACCATCAAGCCGCTCGACGTTGCGCTCAAGCACAAGCATTGGGAGACGTCCGCGTGCATCTTGTCGTTGCACACGGGAAGCGCGCGCATCAAGAACGCGACGCGTCTCTTGCCCCTGCAAGTCGCAGTCGCCCAAGAGGCGCCAGCGTGGCTGCTGCAGCGACTCGCGTCGGCCTATCCCAGCGCCGCGCTCTGCGTCGATGCCCGAGGGAACCCGCTCGTGCACGTCATGAGTGTACGCCAGCGATGGGCCTGCGTCAGTGCGCTACTGGAGGCATCGCCACGCGTGGCCGACACCCGCGATGCCCTCGGGTTCTCGCTGCTCGAGTGCTTGGTAGAACGGTATGCGTCTCTTGCTACACACTTGATACAAACTTGATACGGTGGCATCGTGCTGTAGCGTGGCGCCAGCGTCCGTGGTACTCTGTGCGCTTGTCGCGTCGCCATTCACGTGCTCGAGAAACGGAATATGGTGCTTGGCGTCTGTTTTGCAGCATTATGCACTCGCGCTGACGGGCCACGACCTCGACACCCTCGCAGCGACCGTGGCCAGTCGGTCGTTCCGAGACAGCGCCGGCAATGCGGCGCTGCACGTGGCCGTGCTCTCCGGCAACGTGCTTTTTTGCAAATCCCTGCTTCGACATGCCAACAACATCTTCCTTCGCAACGCCGACGGGCACTCGCCGCACGCGCTCGCGATGCAGTCGTCGAGTCTCGAGCTCCGGCGACTCTTCGAGCCCCTCGATGGCTCGGCCGGAGGTCTTCCAAACGAGTGGTTGGCGTCCAACGACTGCGATGGAAAGACGCCGCTCGACCACGCGATCGCGTCCGGCTCGCTGCGCGTCGTGCAGTGGATGCTGCAGCAAGGCGCAGTTGCATCGACGCCCATCGAACGGCTGCTGTCGCCGCACTCGGGTGTGCCGCTGCCAACACAAGCGGCGATTCGCACCGAGCTCAGCGCTGCGCAGCACAGTCGCCTCGTGCTACATACGAGGTACCTCGTCGAGGCCAGGCAGACCGAAAACGACCCGGACGATGCCGCAATGGTGGCGCACGCGCTCGACCTCCTCTCTGGCACGTACGTGCAACTCCGGGGATATCAAGCGGCCGATATGTGCCAAGCCGACTGTGCGCACATTCAAAGTGTCCAGCGGCAGTCGCAGCGCATCCTCGGCGTGCTCGATGCCTTTAGCGACAAGGGCGTGTACTATGCAGTTCTTGCACATGGCGTAGCGCCGCTGCGCCCGCTTGCAGCACGCTCGAGTGCCCAGCGACACCACATTGCGTCGTCGCTCGCGCAGGCCATCTACGATCTGCACGTCAAAGCCAAATGCGTCGCGTTGGCTCTGGTAGCATGAATCGCACCTCATTTTTAGAGTCCAAAATGACTGTTTGTAGACCGCCGAGAGCTTTCTCGAGACCGGCAACTGCGAGTACCAGCTCACGGACGCTCTTGCATGCATCCCCATAAACGCCTCAGTCGCCAACCCACAGCTAATGGCCCTCTACGCCGCGACGTCAAAGCGAAAGTATATGAGTCCCCGCCTCGCCCGTCAACTGCTTCCGGGTGCGGTCATTGCCTTGGTTCATGCCTCGTCACGGCGTGTTTTAGTACCCACCACCGATAGCACGGATGACGCGATGGTTGTCACGCCGTCCGACAACCTATGGAGCCTCGGTGTCATCCTGTGCGTCAACGATCAAAGTGCAATCTCATGCTTGATAGGTTCGAGCTCTGGAGTGACACGCCATGGCTCGAGGACCTCGATGCCAATCTCTTCTCGGCACTGCATGCGATTGCGCGCCAAGCCGACGATGACGCGATCGAAACTAAAATCGTCGCTCGCGGCCTCTCGACGGCGATGAACCACGTGTTGCTGCAACTGCTGCTTCCATCGACGCCAGACGACATGACACGCATCATTGTCCGCCAAACAATCATCGATGGCAGCACCTCACGCGACCGTAGCACTTGGAGTACTTTGCCCCGGCGCAACATGCATCGGCACCACCGAGTGAGCTCGCCAAGGACCCTACGGACGCGATGACGACGACGACGATGCTGCAGCGCTACGAAATCGTCGCTCTCGCCCTCGAGTCGCACCGCCAGCAGTTTTCCAGAGCCTTGCAGCAGCAAGAAGACCATGCCAAGGTCGTCGCCAAGACGGAGCGGAAGCTCCAGCAGCTCACACTGGACCTCGCGGCGGCCATGGAGCGCAAAGCCGACGCCGTGTCGGCCAAGCTCAGCGCGATGGAGTCGACGCTGGCACAGCAGCGTACCGCGGCGCCAGAGCCCATCGTACCTACCGCGAGCCAGCCAGACACTGCCGGCGACGGGACAACATCGTCCAAAACCAGTGGCAACGACACCAACACCCCAACATCCGTGAGCACCGAAGAGCGAGTTACATTGGGCAGCGCGTGCGCAAGGCATTTGAGGACGGCAACGTGTACCATGGATCCGTGCGCGGCCCTTGCACCACCTCCTCCACCACGCTCACATTCCAAGTGTAGGTTTGCCAGCTGCGGTTTGCAGGACCACCAAGCCGGCAGAGTGCGCTTTGGACGATTGAGTACGACGACGGCGACAGCGAAGACGTCGCGGCTGAGGAGCTCGAGAGCCTTCTGCTCGCGCCTTTGTCGCTTCCGGTTCTCATTCCGCGCAAGAAGCCACGTCTGCGCGGCCACTTTGCCAAGGTCGCGCCGTCCATTGGTCAGCTCGTGTGGCTTCTCGACCATAAAAAGCTGGTGGGTAGCCCATGTCGAGACGACCGACGAACCGCTTCTAGGTGGCGACGGGCGTTGTGTGCACCCCGCCTACCGCCTTGCAAGACGCCGAGTCGCCCAACTGCGTTGTCCTCGCAGTTCGAAAGTACTTCGCAGGTGCTCTCGCGACAGGCGGCAATGGACTTATGCTTTTTAGGCACACCGACGTCGGTGCGGTCCCAATTCCAATCGCTGCAAGGCAAGACGTACATAGTCTGGCGCATTCCGCACTGCTTTCTGCCGAGCGAGTCTTCTTACATTTCCTGAAACATGTACTTGGTCTCGGTCGGCGTTGCGACTTGATCGACGGTCGCGCGATTCGGCGGCGGCGGTGGTGTCTTGGTCGCGAGCGGCGGCGCCGTCCCGACCATCGACTTGGCATTCTCGTCGTCGGCGTCGTCGCCTTCCTTGTACCGGTGCAGACTGCGCTCGACAAACGGCGACGTCGTGCTAAACTTGTCGGCGACCCAGATCCGGAGCACTTCGAGACACGCGTTGTGTGCGCCCTCGCCCTTGTTGTGCAGATTCTTTTCCAGATCCGGGTTGAGTTCGAGCTCCCACTCGGTGCGCACTTCAATGTCCATGCGATCGCTCACCACCTACATGCACGACATCATGCTACGACCCGAGACGACACTGCATCGCACCATCATGAGAAGTGGCACAAACTGCTTGCGCACTTCGCGACGAATGGCCGGCACTTCGATCGCGCGCGCGCGCAGGTCTTTCGTCGACCGCCCTTGTACAATGTCGGCGAGCCAGTTGACAACAAACGAGAATTTGCGCAAACTCGAGCGGCAAATCTCAAACCGAAGCAGCTCGAGGAGCTCGGCCTCCTGCTTGAGGCGCGGACAGCGCTGGAGCACGAGCTCCTGAACGCGGCCAAACATCTCGTCCGTGTTTTCAAGGCCGTGGGCGCCAAAGGCGTAGCAGTTCTCGCACAAGTCGTAGCTACCACAAACGCATGATGCGTACAAGGCCTTTCTCAGAGACGTACCCTTCGCATGTTGCGCAGCGGAACCGGTTGCCAATGATGGGCGTCACCGAACACACGGCACAGCGCGAGCCTTGGTGCACGAATTTCTTCTCAAAGTGCTTGGTGACCGTCTTCTTGGCCGCGGCAGCCGCCATCGAACCAAGTCCGAGGATCGTCTTGGAAAGCCCGCCCCGGCGCGACGACCCGGTACCGTCGTCTGCGCCCAAGAACGAGTTGGAGAGAAGGCCACCGCGGCGCTCGTCGCCTGTAAACGACGCATTCGAAGTTCGCCGGTTGGACGCCGTCATGCTCATGGCATTGACTACATATCAAAAGGATGAGCGCCTCTACGAAGAAGCGGGAGCATACGGTCCAGCTCGAGGTCTTCTTCATCGTTGCCGTCGGGGCGCGAGATGAACCGGGCGCGGTCTGGGTGCAGGTACCGCGCCGTGTGGAGCACGAGTTTGTTGGGCACGTCGTCGGGCCGCGGGCCCAGGAACAAGTGCGCCGCGAGCTCCGAGTGCTGCGTGACGGCGGCGACGTACTCTTCTTCGCGCGGCTCGATCACGAGTTTGAGGTCGGTCACCATCATGACGCGCTGCATCTGATAGTACGCGACCTTGAAGTGGTGCTTGCCCTTGAGGAGCGGCAGGATAAACTCCGTCATGCCGGTCGCGACCTCGGCCGGGACGTTCTGCATGACCATATTCGTCTCCGAGACCACTTTGTCCTATGGCCTACTGTCGCCACGACCATCCATGCGGATGCCGTCTACCTGCGGGTACTTGGCGGGGTTGCCGTCGATGAGCTGGCGCAAAATGCGCCCGACGCCTTCGCGGTGCGCAAAGGGCACCTTCTCGATGAAACCCGTGAGCATGTACGGCTCGTACGTCTTGGTGTAGGGCGAGATGACGTCGGTATGGAGCTGCCACTTGTACTTGGCCTAGTAAGATGGCACATTGAACACGACTTGGTCGATAGATACCGAGACGGTACCGCGTCTTCTTCGTCGTCGTGGAAAAAGGCGGGCGCCGGCATCGGCGGCGGCGTCGACGGCGGTGTGTTGGCAATCGAGTCGGTGCTCGCGCGAATGTCCATCTGCAGCATTGCCATGATAGACCACGCTGTGCGATGCGAGGATCATGTACCTTGAGCTGGAGTGCTTGCAGCTGCGACTCCATCTTGGAGACTTCTTCCTGCTTTTCCTTGAGGCGACTGAGCTGCATCTCTTGCTCCGTCTGCAACGTGGTCTCGAGACCAGTGATGCGCTCCTTCTGGATCTTGATCTCTTCGTCCCGCATCCTACGCAGACATGGACGCTGAGACACAGTGCAATGCGTCGTATGTACTTGATCTCTTGGTCCTTGCGATCCAAGTCCTTGACAAGCAGACCGTTTTCGTTGCGGAGCGCGTTGACTTCGGCTTGCTGGCAGTTGCCGCTGCATGTTGCCTTGGGCGCCTCGGCCGCCTTGTCGGACTTGACGCTGCTGCGCGAGTTGCGCAGGCCATCCGATTCGCTCGAGCTGCTCGAGCGACCTGCGCCAGCCAGCGCCGAGTTGAGCGAGTCGAGGTTGCGCCGGCGGTTCTTCTTGTTGCTGGCCTCGAGGGCCGTGACGAGGCCGCGCAGCGCCTCGCTCTCTTCGGTCTTGAACGTAATTTCTTGCTGTAGGAACCCAATCTGCTTTGTGGCCGCGTCGAGCTTGGCCGTCTCAACGCTCAAAAGCTCGTTCTCGCGGAAAACGTAGTCGAACTTCTTCTTCCACTCTTGTGCTTCCTTCTTGACCTTGACGTACTCGGACTCGAGGAAGCTCATCTCGCGGATCTTGCCGGCCAGCGACTCCTGGAGAATGCGATTCTGCTCGAGCGCGTTCTGCTTGCGCGCGTAGACCTCTTCGTTGCTGTGGAGGCTCTGGCGGACGCCCAGCGACATGCCATGGCGGTCGTCCTCCATCCTGCGCCCGACAAATCCGTCAATGAATTTCTGGCACGAAGTCTTTTTATCCGGATGGTTCGGTCTTCGAACGTTCGGAAGGGGCAAGACGGCGAGGATGGGCACGCGGCCGATCCCGACGCATGCTAGCCCTCGATCGCATGCGACCGCTCAACGCAGCTGCGCGAACCCATCGTCTCAATACAGGTACGCATCGCTCGTGGCCTACACAAGGCGCGACTCGGACGCTGGAACGCGCTCTTGCAGAGGAGCGGGGCCGTCGTGACAAGAGGCTTCTTGGTCTTCGCGGGCAGCTCGACCGTTCTCAGGCCTGCATTCTC